GGGGGTAATTTCAAAATCACCAGATAATACTAATCCCATGCGAATAGGGTTTATGATGACTTCCGCTTCTGAGAACCCCTGAAATAGTGATGCCAAATTAAGCAAGGATTCAATTATCAAACTGATCAAAAGTGACAGCCAAGACTAAACTGTACAAAATATTTTTGATGTATCAAATAAATTCATTTCTCAAAAAATTTACAAAATTAAAAATTACATAAATTACATACATAATAAAATACATACATACAAACATAAATAAATAAAATATTAAGATGCACAACTGTTATCAACATTGGTAACAAAATGTTTCTTGAGCACAAAATCAACATATTAGAATGATTTCTGAAGGATCATGTGGCATTGAAGACTGGAGTAATGGCTGCTGAAAATTCAGCTTTGCCTTAACAGAAAAAAAAATAATAATAAAATAGAAAAAAAATTATTGTAATAATGTTTCACAATATTAATGTTTTGCTGTATATTTGATCAAATAAATGCATCCTGCATGGTTGAGCAGTAAATAACTTCTTTCAAAAACATTGTGCCAGGACACCACTATAGAACTGATCTGATATAGCATATCCACATGAATATCCAGCCAATCGCTTGTCTGGAGACACAGAAAGGTAATACTAGCATGTGTGATCTCATGACTTGCATTTATATGTTAGTTGAATTTGTCTAGATATTTGGCATATGTGCATGCTTGAGGGAAAAGCAACAAATTAATAATTAATGGAATAAATATGTTAAGTGCTTTCAAATGGTCCCTAAACACTCACCAAAGCTACTACAATACTCCCCTTCTCCTTCCTTTTATACTTGCTTGTGTGTATTATGTATGCATGATTGATTCACTACAACACTGCCACAACTTCTTTAATAAACACTGTAAATTGGATAATGCAGCCCTCACGTATGATAAGGCCAAGCTTTAAGAAAGTTCTCTTACTGGAGGAAAGTCTGGTTCAGATGGTTGGAATAGCGATATCTTTACCTTGGCAATTCGTTTTTGAGATTTGTTTTCCTTTTAACCTGCTAGTAAAACTTGTGACAGAATAAAACCAGGAATTGGCTGAACAATTTCAGATTCCCAGCTCACATGAATGCACCAATGCATTTAGCGGCTTTGTTCATTATCTTGAATAGTGGAACAACTTGATGCCTTTTGCATTTTCAATATTTTTCTCAGAGGACACATTTACCCTATTTGAATTGCAGCGTCCCTGACTATATCCACAGAGAGAACTACTTAACATTTATAAATACCTCTAGAATGTCACTGGTTGAATGAGAGCCGAGGTGGTTGCCATGACAAAGGGGCGAGTACATGCTTGGCTTGCATTGTTTTAAAAGACAAATGAAATCAAGGAGTCTTTTCCTTCTTTAGAGCTGCACAGGATGTGAGCTAACAGGGTGTGTGCAAAATGCGAAAATGCAAACTATCAAAACTATTTTCAAAAACGCATGACAGAATTTTCTAATTATGCAGAAAAAGATAAACAGTTTATTACAATATTTTATTATAATCTGTCTTTTTTCTGTATAGTTATAAAAT